GGCTGCAGATTCGATATGCAAAGAGGTCGGTAGTTTGGATTATGACCGTGTCAATTACTCCGATTGCTTATCTGTTATATCTTTCCTTTTTTCCGTACTGCGATGCGATCTGTTTTTTTCGTTATTGTTTCGTGATTGATTTGATATTCGTGCGATGCGATCTGTTTTCTAATTGATTGTGTGATTTGTTTCATGATTGATTTTCTGTTAGATAGTTACCTATATCCGATGGCAGGGGTGTGGTGGGACCTTAACACATGTCCGGTTCCCGCTGGTTTTGACGTTGGTTTTGTCCGTCCGAGTTTAGAATTGGTCCTCGTCTAGTCGCCATCTTTGCCGTTGGCAACCTAGACAACATCCCTGTTGACCTCTTGGAGAAGATCTCTTCCTCTGGAATCCCTCTTAGACACGCCCCGCGTGATTAGTCTTCTTATGGATGATTTTAGTGACTCATCCGGTGGCATCTAAGATTTTGGCCTCTTTTTTTTTCCAGGTGGGAGCGAGGTCCATGAGCTCATTACACTCGAATGGTCTACTACGGTTCTTGGACGTTCGGCTCTACTAATGCTCATATCCAGTGATCCTCGCTGGTTTCTTTCCAATTTTACCTCTTTGGGAAAAACTATTCTTCGTGCATATGATGGTCCCGGGCCATAATTCCGTTACATCCCGCCTTTTAAAGTCTTGGGCTGGGAATCCTTACTCAAAGGTCTTTTTTTTTTCCTTTCTTTCTCATGTTTTCTCATCTCTCACTTTGAATATAACCAACTGTTTTTGAACTAGTAGTGAATTTTTCTTTGGTCCGCGCGCAGAGCCTGTGATGACAAAATGGGCACGTGAGATGACAAGCTGCGAGGCACTTGAGTTGACAATCTGGAATGCACGTGTGCGTGAGCTTTTTCCTGCCTTCAGTGCGCTCTATGCTATATCTTTGGTGATCACCCTACCGAAAAATTTGATGATACCACTATCCAAAGCTTTGATGATGTCATCAAGCATCTCATCAAGCATCTCAAGAGTGAATATCACAAGAATTTGGTAAGCCCTCCTTCTCTCAGCTTTGCCTCTGTAATTGTCTAACGATTACTACAATTATATCAAATTTGACCCCATGTGGATGTTCATTTGGTCTACTGTCAAGCAGTATTTGCGCATGGTGCCTTCATCCAAGGATTAACCTCCCTACTTTCCCTACTATTGCAAACTTTGCCATTATCTTACCTACGACACTCTCACCTTGGACATGCATTTAAGAAGTGAAGTACATGCACGGAAAGCAGTAGCATCAGTAACCATCCTTGCCTCCTAATCTCAGCTTGTATCACTATCATTCTAAGAAAACCTCTTTATATAAAATTTTGATGTGCATTTTATTGTCAACCAGGAGCTTTCCTCTGAGAAAGAGGCTTGAATTGTCTATCAACCCAACACAAGTCAAGAAATGGATCAACCCAACACAAGTCAAGAGAAGGAGCAGGAACAAGAGGATCCCTTTTACTATAACAGGGACAAGAAGCCCATAATGCATTACCCATAATCAATAGTAGTGGTTAAAGTTGGGGTATTAAATATTTTTTTATTATATGTATTGTGTGTAAAATTAGAACCCCATTTTTTAGGTTCTATAAATGCTAATATTAAAACCCCATTTTGAGGTGCTAAGATTATTTAATTATTTTTAACCCATTAGCAACTCATTATAAAATCCTTTAAAAAATATTAACACCTCACGTTGATCATGCTCTAAGGTGTTGTTTTAAAAATTTGAAGTGAATGGTTTGTTCTAGTTTGTTCTACTACTATGCGTGGCCCATGGGGTGTTGTAGAGAATGGTTTGTTCTACTATTAAGATATTAGTCTGTTGCCGAAAAAAAACAAAATTTTAAATTGGATTGGTGTTACTACAGCAATCATGATATGATTAACAATAAGATAAAATTTAATGATCGAATACATGTTG